CGTGATTCCGGTACCTTTATAATAAGCCAGAGAGCCTCGGTACTGCAAGCAAACCGTTCAAGTGGTCGTTGGTTGAACTGGAAGTCAATATGTTGATCATCGTTTTCACTATATTGCTCGGTAGCTAGGGACAATCGTTCCCCGGCATTTTGGTGTTCGTAGCACTCATCGTTATTGGCTGTCTCCGGGAATGAGGATTTTCCTATTCAATATTTAAAGGATAGTGCCACTCGCACTGGATCTCTTGTCAAGTTCCGTTTTCAATGCCCTCCACTCCTTCCGCTTGGGGGTTTGATAATACTGCTGAAAAAAATGTCGGGTGAACGTTCCGTAATGCTGTTTTTTATAAACAGTAACAACGCTTGCTTTTCATCTTGAAGAATAAACTTTTTCGGTCTGCGTTAAGTCGCATTGCGTTGGTTCGCATTCTCAGTTAAATTTTTCTTTTGACCAATCCTTAAGGCTTTTAAGACAGAAACTTCCTTGTTTCAATTTAAAAGAAGTCTGAGGTATTGTTTGAATAACTATATGTCATGGTGTATTCCGTTCCTTGAGATATCTGAACCAGATTCGGGCATGTCTTTTATGACAATAATGCGCTGACTGCGATCAGCCAACTGGTCATGCATTTATATTTGTACACAGCGAATACTTTATGCCAATTTATATTGTGATCGTCTTTTGATGCAGAGACAACTGTCGTTGCAAAACTACCGTATGGTCCCTCGTTTACGAAGGTTTCGCTCTTACTGGACACTGGACACTGGACACATGCACTGGAAGTGCATGCGGACTCGGACCCCTCGTACTGAGACATGGACCAATTTTTTTGGAGACGATGTGGAATGTTCTTTAGTATTTAATGCGGTGGGACGCTTTTTTGTTTCATCATCTTAACTATCTTCGCTTATGCGATCCTTGCGCCTCGCCCATTTTTGCGGCTACATATAACTCCATAGACGCGCCGCCACTTCCCCCATTGTTTATTGCGCCCGAGGCGGCGGAGTTTGCGTATATTTCCTTGGCTTTTTAAGCTCCTGTCATCTCCAATTTTGTGTGTTCATGTATAAAACGTGTTAGTTTCTTCAAACTTGTAATCTCATTTTTCACACTGTCTAGGAACTTCTGTATGCCCAGAAATATTTTGAACAGTTTGTTATACACCCTATAGGCTTCGTCTTCGTGCTTCACGTGTATTGACCTGTTAAGCCTGTTAAGTGGGGTGGGATTCTGTAGCATCAACTCGGGCAATCCAGCCAATGGAATTGTGACAAATGCTTATACTATCAATTAACTCGGGCGACGATGCGAGCCTGGTGGTTTCGCGCCGCTCCTCCAGGATTTGGTGCCAAGGTGCGAATCCTTGCCTTAGCGAAAATTTCTCATGACGCTCTAAACATTTCTTTTCGATTCCCATACTTGATCAAAATAATGCTAAACCTTATTTAAGTTATCTACCGAAATATAAACCGGATCAACTATATGAATACAATATTGAAACGACTCAGACTGTTGTAGACTTGTGAGGCGGGAAATATTTACAAGCGGATCCAAAAGTTAACAACGAAGGTCCGCCAGAGTGGCAAATAAGTTTAAGTCTGCAGCGATTCTTTTCTCGAGAGTGTTATCGGGGGACCCAGGGAGGTCCTAGATAACGATGCACTCACCTTTGTCAGGTATACTTCGGATTCTTACGGATTTAACGTTATCCGCTAATGTCTTAGCGTCGTTAAATTGGGACGGTCTATATTGCTTTTCCTCAGAAAGCTCTGTGGAATATTCGACCATTTGGAAAT